AAATACAACCATGTGAACGTATTCACATACGTGATGCCCTCCCTAGTATATTATTTTTAATCCAACTATTGAAGCTTTGTTTTATGATGTCCGTTATGTTAGAAAATTTTGATTTATTGCAGTATAGGATTTATGTTTCATATTCTATCTTGTAAATGAACCCAATTTTTTTTTAATTTAATTTTTGATGCTAAAATATTTTTTTGAATTTTTAAATAAAAAATTCATTTCTTATAAAAAAATATGTATGTGTGAAGTTTATTATTTACTAATAATTCCATATAAAAATAAAAGGAAAGTTTATAACTAACAATGGAATGTGTTTATGATAATACCAAATCTATCAGAAACAAATAAATTTAATATATTTGAAATTTGCAATCAAATTTTGAAAGATTTAATTGATGTGTTTTAATTAATATGTGTATCACTTAACTAATAATATGTCGACCTCCATGATCACACAAGGAATTCCTTTTCCTGCTTCACCAGCGACATTCAAAGTCGCGAATGCGGAGACCGGTGCTCACCTGATGGTGGACGATCGAAAGAGTAAACCGGGCGAGTACAGCGTCACAGTGTCGACCACTGTGACCAACGCCGACCAATTGAGCTTCCACCTCGTGGCCTCGACATATCTCGACCAGTCGGTCAGCACCTGCTACCATATCCAGACCGTTCACGCCAAAACTGCGAGGGCGATGGCCGACGCTGGGGATCCGAGTGACGAAGAGGACGTCGGTCCAGACACCGGACCCGTCATTTTGGAGCTGAATCAAGCCGACAGGAGGCAACTGTGGTTCATCGAACCTTCCACGGAGTTCCGCGATGGATGCTTCCGCTTCAGGAACGCCTACGCCTCTGGCTACCTCTACGAGGATGAGATGTACGGGGTGCAGATGAAGTACGTGGAGCAGGAGGAGCGCAGCCAGAACTGGGTTCTGCAATTCGACCCATCCGGACGTCCAAATGTTCCGCTGATTCACACTCAGTTCAGGATCAGCAACTTGGCGTACAAGAAGGTCATTCACGCCAAGTTGAAGGACCAGAAGGGCATCATCGGCCTGCAGAACAAGGTGACTCAACAAAAGGAGCAGGTGTTCATGCTCGTACCGTCGACACGGAAACCGGGAGTTTACCTCATGCGCAGTTTGTACACGGACCTCTGCGTCTCTCAGGGTGCGACGTCCTCTCAATCTGACAACGGCAAACTCAGCCTGATGCCACTCAGTCACGGTGATATGAAACAGGCCTGGAGCCTCGTCCCATCCACCATTCAGCCGGGATTCTACCGATTGCAGAACGTCGCAAGCGCTGAGTTCGTCATGGTTATCATGAAAAAGTCAAGCTAAGTCCTTCGAACGGACGCAAATCCGGAACTCAATGTACAGTGTTGGGATTTCTTTGGCGCATGAGCCGGTCCCTTTGGTCGCTGCTGCTGGCGACCGCGGCCGGGGATACGATCCTTCGAAGAAACACTGGGCTGGGACATGATCCAGCTTGATAATACAGTAAGTACCTTTCGTGTACAGATCGCTGAATTGTTGCCAGTGACTCTAAGCTTTCTACGTTAGGACCTCTAGTAATTTTTACGGACCGCTACAAGTCTATCAGATCCAAACGACTTAATATCTGACGTGACTCACTTTCTTGGCATACCAGCATCAGGTCGTTGGCAATCTGAATCATGTTCTCCAGTAAAATATATCTATGGCTTAAAGTGTTTAAAATTGTGAGTGATCGTTGAGCTCTTGAGCTCTTGACTTTCTCTTCGAGTCGGATGTGCTCAGACACTTAGATCTGAACAGCTGTAAGCAGTACATTGTTTGACACATGCTCAACGCTATCAATATGTTTTATCATATTTAATCAACGCATTTTATCATTCCACACTCCCCAACACTGGTTATGAGTTATTCAATGTTTTCTAACGCACTGAAATCTGCACCAAAGTAAAGTAATGCATGAAGTTACACCATCCCCGCTCGGGCAATATGGACATAACATATATATATTCTTCGAAAAGAACAGTACCATTGGCGCTCACTATCCTTCCATCCTCATTGAGTCTCAAATGCAATAGTGATCAGAAGGTCACTCTATCTTGAGAAAGAAGTGATGACAATCATGCACAGTGATCTACATGAAAGTTCAATTTCTGATTGGTATGAGTTCATGCACAACTTTATGTTTCTGGCTGGTTCCTAAACTTGACATGTAGTCTTCCTGCATTTGGATTACGTCGATGGGTCTGCCATAATGGGCGACTCTCTGGAAACTCACTATTCAGATTCTCAGCATGCTTTCTTTCTCAATGTAGCTCGAGTTTTAGGCTAGTTATACTCCTATCATGAGAAGCGTGTGTGTGCACTCTAAAATCAACAGTCTCGAAAATCTTTCATGAATCTCCTTTGATCGCATTCAAGCTATTTTTGCACTTCACATGGCGCAATTCAAATCTTCAAACGGAGTGCCAGCAGATTAACGCAGCCGCTCAGGAGCGTGTCGAGCAGAAACGAAAGTTGCCTCAATCCTCCTTCCGAATTGGCCGATAATCTGTACAGCGGCACAAATTTCCTGCAAGGGTTTTTTCTATTTCTTCAGTTGTGAGAACACCTTTCGTTGCCCGCATCGCCGGACGCGAGGAGAGTTACCATAACGCCGAGCGTGACGTGCACGAGGCCGATGGCGGCAGCAGCAGCGGCGTAGCGGTGGCAGGCGCAGAACGGCGAGAGGAAGCGAGGGACTCTCAGCTCTAGCGCTAGTGGACAGCGACAGGCGCGAATTTTCGCGGCAGCTGGGCGAGGCGGCCAGGGAATGGGGGTATGTACTCTTGTCGTGCAGCCCCCGGCAATTGTGCATGCCGTTTCCTAGCAGGGGAGTCGATGAGTGACGAAGCTGGGGTAGCGCCAGAGCTTCGCAGAGCGTCTTCGAATGCAGGAGTAATTGAGAGAGGAAAAGTGGGAGTTTCAATTATTGATGGTGGTTTTCAAGTGCTTTGAGTTTTGAAGTTCACTTGTGGAGTTGTTCTCGCGCCAGCTCAACTTTCAGAAGGGTCCGATTCTTCGCAAGCTGCGCAAGGGCGGAGACCGTGCTGGAGATTGCTCTGCGGTTCCTGTTGCCGACGAGCGTCCTCAAGTGGGAAATGAGGGTTCTTCCAGATCGTGATTCATAGCCTCTCGCTCGCCGCCCTCAAGGACATCGAAACGCAGGGTATCAAATTCTTCGAGCTGTCCTCCGAGAGCAAGCTCATGCTCGAGCAGCACGGTTACTTCTAAGACAACACCGCCGTCAAAATGTCGACTCTGCATTGGGCCGAGAGCTGGATGCTCAGCTACCGCCCCCAGAGCAGCATCGACAAGAAAATCAACCTCAAAGTCAAACCCTTCGACAAACAAGCCATAGGCACACTGCGATCAATGTCAGATTCGTTAGTCGATGAGCCCTGAAGGATGCACATTTTTGAAATTCGGAATAAAATTTTGAAGGTAGATATGATATCAATTGATGAATTGATGGGAAGAGACCGATAGATTACACAATACGAGAGAGTAAATGGTAAATGGACTGAGGATAAGCGACGGAGACGCATACACAGCTTTAAAATGGTTCGCCTTTTCCGAATAGGTCCATGGAAACACAAATATTATGTTCAGGAGACTCGCTAAGTAATACAGTAGGAAAGCTAAAATCCTGAACATCAATGACAGGTGCATTAACCCATCGTCACCGACGGTTTTAGGATGTCAGCAAAAACCATCACTAACGGTTTAAGGTCCCAACTTCAGTGACAGCTAACAAGTTTTTTTACATTTTTATTATTTTAAATGATTTTAACTGAATTTTTCATTTACGATTAATATTATGTCAAATCATTCATAAGCTATTTGTACTGAATATTCATCAAAATTAAAATGATTAAGAAGATATATAAAGTAAGCAGATTTTTGTGTCTTGTTCTTAATAACAAAAGTGAACAACATTCTATCTTCATTATATGTTATAACTATAAAAAAACAGTTGTGTTGAAATGCAACTAAAGTCGCATGTAATCCAGTTTACAAAAAAATATAAAATCAATACACATACTTCTTTCATAAATTATCTACAAAAGTCAGCAGTACATGGTACAAAATACGTAATATGGAATAATGATTTATTGTGGACTAATTTTTTTAAAAAAATTAAAGATATCATTATACTTATAAAAGAACGAATTTTTTTATAATATATACTACTAGATAAAAAAATCGATGATGATTACACTGCAAGTTTACTTCAAACAGAATGTATTGGCTTAAGTTTGTGGAAAATTGAAACAAACTTTGGTTTCATGAAGTTGTAGCTTTCATCATCTGGGTTCAATGTTGTACAAGGAAATTTATTCTATAAGTGATTATCAATGAATTTTATATGAAGTACAATGAGTCAGTTTATAAGGCTACTAATGAGATGAAGGAATGTTGTGAGGTGGATGTTGAATTCAAAAAGCGCACAATAATTTTACGAGTAGAACCAGCCTAAGAGAAACGATATCATTGAATGAAGCACATACTGAAAGATATTACTACTATCTTATAGTGATATTGTTACTTGAGCCTCCTATTGTAGCATCCTATTCGTAATTGACTGGCAGGCAATATATGGACGGCTAGATATACATAGCTTTGTCCGTGATGATAAAACCATCCACCCAAATAAGATATGAACCATTCAATAAATTTCGACAAGAAGTATTCATCTATTGAGTCTTAGGATGTTCAGCAATGTAAAGGGTACGATCTTTGCAGACACAAAAGTACTTCGTTTCAACATTGACGAGGTGATTGCAATTTCTGCAGTTAAATGTAGTTGACCTTTCTTGTTTCAGATCCTTCAATCGGATTTCAGAAACTTTGATCACGGTCCTACAATATTGCAAACTATGCAAACCGATAAGCACCGCGTGTCTAATCTAACTAGATTATAGCATTGTGCTAGATTCTATGTGCATCCTTCACTGCAAAATTGCAACGTGAAGGGTTGAAGTGAACGAGTGCATTTTTGTTACGGCCGTCGACAGAGGAAGACCTCCAGTTTGCAGGATAAGGAATAATATAAAAAGGCCAAGAAGAAAAGTTACTGATTTTGACCACAGTCGATAATCATTCCAATTGATTAAGCTTATAACAGTAACATCCAAATTCACGTTTTATCAGCATCTCAGATGTCAATCGACTTTAGGTCCACACCTGTTCTGTGACAGTTATAGTGATAAAGTCAACTGAGTTTCAGAAAATGATGGGGATATCTTAGATCTCCATGCTCGATAGGGGAGATTCTCTTCTACACCAAAGCTCCTACTTTGCGCGATGATTTGTCAAAACAACAATTCAACTATGCAGGAAATCCCTGAAGGTAATCACTAAGGGTCTTAGCGGCCGCTGGTCATTTCTCCATCTAATTTGCACTTGAACCACTCATCAATGATCCAATGCAGCTTCAATTCGACAGTGATTTCAGACATCTGGATATTGTTCGACTATCTTCTTCCAAGCTGGCCGAGAAGTGATAGTTTCGTACCAAGCATTGACATGTTTGCGGCTAGTAACCAGACTTTCCTTTCCCGAGCTGACCACGAATCTGTGCAGCATAGGAATGTGAGCCAGATCTGCCATGGAGTAGAAGTCTCCTGCCAAGTACTTGGTCTTGGCCAGCTGAGCGTCATAAATGTTCAGAAGCTTCTCAAACTTGCTGAGATTCTCTTCCACAACCGCTACGTCCGGTACTCTTTCTAAGAACTTAGGAAAAAAGTACAATTCCGTGACAAGACTCCGAACCGGAGGCTCGAAGTAGCACCCTTGCACCTCAACCCACTGATCCACCATTGCCTTCTCCTTGGGAGTTGATCCGAGCAGATGCAGTCCCCCGTAGTTGGTCGCAACATATCTTAAAATTGCTCGACTTTCTGTAACAAACAGGACATCAAAATTAAACTTCCCTGGTAGTACCTTATCGAGATATACTCCTCTCATCAGCGAACATGCAACTAACCAGCTCCATAACTGAAACATAGATTCTTAGCTATTTTAGCTGTAACTTGAAAGCTAATACCGATTACAGACATTCGCGGTGAATTCAGGATCATTGTTCAAGAAAATTCTATCCTAAATCAGAGTAATTTCTTTAGCTAAATCTTCTGTTTTGTGTTTGATAAGTCTCCAGTATAAACTTGTGATTTTCGCATATACGTGTAGTTCAGCTACCCTAATACTAAAGCATGGAACACTCAAGTAAATTTTGTTGCAGATGAATTGCCCAAATATTCTCTGCACTCAGTCACATCCTTCCAGACTTCACTTCATTCAGTCCTCTAATCGGTAAACTAAGCAGCTCCGTCACCAGAAAGACACATTAGCCGATATACATTTTGCGAAGACAGGAGCGATGAACAGACAGTATATAGACAATTTCTGAACAGGGCTGATCCTAACACATACCGTATAAAATAAAATCGTCGAACTCAACCGCTGGATGTTTTCCGAAGGGATTGACTTTTGCCAAGTACTCTGGACTACGCATGTCGTCCTCGATGATCTCACTCTCAACATTCATCTCGCTCATGGCTAGCATCGCAACCCTCACTAAAGGAGACAATTGGCGTCCATGAATCTTGATCGCCATTGCTTACGCGACACTTGCTCTTGCCTTATAACCTTCCTCGCTGTTGACAAACTCACCAGTCCAAATTCGGACAGCGAACAAGATTTGACGCTCTGATTGAGAGCTCTCTCCTCCCTCTTTCTCTCTCAATTGAATCTCAAGACTCTGCAGTGGCTTACACTGAAGAAGATTTATTTGCAGAGACATTTATAATGCCCAATTCTGAGAGTTGTAAGCAGCTCTGGTACAACGCGGAAGTCCAGCACAGAACTTCAGCAGTCGCTGCACAACTTCCGCTGCACGGACCTCGAGCAACGGGGTCGCACGATGTATCGAGAGAAAGATATCCTCAATATCATCATCTCGCCTTCTAGACTCTGTCACGCCCTAGATGGACCTGCGATCCGATCAGAGAAGGAAAACCTTGCAACGATTAACCAATCGAGGCTCTTGCCTTGGCCGTTGTATCCGGAATACCCAGCACAAGCGAATCTTACAAATCTCCAGAGAGAGTTTCCGTGCCTTGACATTCGTAGCCACAATTGATTTTCTAGCCGACTGACCATCACTCCTGAATAAGTGGCCAGGTTTCCGAAGCTTGCCCGGATGATTCCATCGCTGACCACAAAGTCCTCTCGTCCTGTCCACGGTCAAGACTCAAGACTGGAGACTGTGGATGTTGACCAGTTTCCCCGAGATGCTTCGCGCGAAGCTTGCTATGGCCCTGCTTCCTCTTCCGAGCCCAGATTTAGTGTGAGGGCCAAGCGACCGGCTGCTGCAGAATGTGGTGACACCGAACAGAGTTCACGAGTGTGGCCTTTCCCGGGACCACTAAAGATGGGCCCTTATTTCTTCAATATCATCATGCTTTGAACGGGAATCAAAGGTCTTTTGATCTCTTGACAGTATTCACAAATGCGAGTACTTACTTGGAGAGTATATTGATTGCAGACATCCTAAAGATTTTGTGAGTAAACAATTGTCAAAGAAATTGTATATGTGTTGTTTTTTAAACAAGAAACCAAACTTTGTGAAATTTTATGTATTATGCATGTTGGAAGTTATGTGCCGAATGGTGAACAAAGAATTATTCAATGACCACCAAATTCTCTTAATGTCAATTCTATAGAAAACGTGTGGTGTTAGATTAATAAAAAGAAAAAGACTACCAAAAACATTTGTGGGCATCAGCCAATTTAGCATACGAGTTTGTAACCCAAGGAAGTATTAGGAAGTTCATTTCTAAAATACCAAAAATAATTGAAGTTGCAGTAGCAGCTGAAGGTGGTAGCACTCGTTGGTAGTACGTGCTCTACTTTATTATAGAATAGTTGCTAGTGTACTCACTAGCAACTATTCTAGACATATTGTAACTTTCATAAAATGTATGATTGTAATAATTTATATGTTATGTAATTTGATCACAATTAGTGGCTCTCAATGAACAAGCACCAATTAAACTAGTATAAAGAGTATGATTCCCTCACGCTTATAAATGAATTCCCTTTTGAATTCATGCGTTGTATTAGATCCATCTCCGTTGCGACAAGTGACAATATTCCGCTTCTGATATTCAGAATTTGAATGGCACATAAAGATTAGAGATAATTCCATGGAGCGCAACGAGCATCACCAGCGCCGGAATTGCCGTAAGAATTAAAATGCATTACTTCAGGCAAAAATGATGTTGAATTTTAATAAACTGTTTAGGGAAAAAAATAATTTGAGATTGAAGTAGGTCAATAGCTGGTAAAAGCTATACCACAAACCACATGGCCCGGTATCGTTGAATATGTAAAAATGATTTCATGTAGGAAAAATACTTCATCTAAGATAAGTTCACGTCACTAGGTAGTAAAGACTTCTCCATATGGCCGATTGTCATTGGACGCTCCCTCTAAACATCCATTACTCGCCGGCAAAAAATTAATACATTTTGCAGATGGTTCCAGATCTTTCTGAGCTAATCATCCATGACCCGTAGCAAATAAATATATTTATTTAATTTATCAAAATAAATATATATAAAAACGCCAGAAGACTTACAAAGGATTTGAACTCAATCCTGCCAAGAGTTCGGCCCGTCATTTACGGGCAATCTTTGGGAAAGGTTCCAGAAGGTCATTATGGGTGTTGTCAAAGGTGCCCTCTTACCCTTATTTTTAAGCTTAAGTTTCTATGCTTCTAGAAGAAAATATAACCAACCATTTTGAACACAAATTAGTTGAAAAAACTTCCCTGTAACGTAACACATACTTAACTCAAAATTTAAATTATCTTATTATAATATAAGATGAAAAGTGATTAGTTTTCATATTTACTTAATTACATAGATCTAAAAAAGAGAACAAAGTTTCTGTATTTTTGAAGCATGTGTGATTTTTTAATAGTGACATAAGTTTTGAACTCTATGCAAGATAATTAAAACCCTAAAATTTTATACAAGGTATATATTTCTTTAATAGAATTGTGAGATATGAACATTTCATACATTCAATTAGATGTTGGTTGATATTGTGCAATTTCATCATATGATTAGCAAAACTTTGAAATTTAGTGATCAAATATTTGAAAAATTCAATTACAGAAACTTTCAGTGTTAAAAAAGAAAATAATAATTTTATGAACAGTTTTGGTTCCAAAAAAATATATATTTAAATAATAATTTTTATTTTACAAAAATTTATTAATACTTTTGGAGTAAAAATATTTTTTCTATATTTTCTTGAATATTCAGTTTTTTCTTATTGTAATAATTGTGAATATTGCAGAATTTAACGTGAATAATTACAAGGCAATATGATATTTATCTGCTGGTATATAAGATATTGAAAAAAAATATGGAGTCAAAGAATATATCACAAATTAAATACGTTTGAAAGTATATATCAAGTTCAATCATTCATCTGATGAAAAAATCATACAACATATCAACAGAGAATAAAATCTGTAAGAGTTTAATAAATTTGTATTTTTTATGCATAATTTAATTTTGATTATTAAAAAAAGCCTATAAATTTATAATTTCATGTTGAAATGATAATAATTTCAAATTTTATTAGAAGATTTAATATCATATATTTGATGAAAAATTCACATATTCGAATCAAAATTATAACGTAATACAATGAAATTTTAATAAATCATTTTGTACACCATTTTTTTATTTTACATTTATTACATTGTCATTAATACTTCAAACTGACTGAAAATATTGATGATAATGCAAAGTTTCAAATCCTGATTGATTTTTGTGAAATATTTTTGTGTTGAAAGACACATATATTCCACCAAAGAAAAAAAAATTTACATATGATATCAAATATGAATAAAAAGTATACAAATTTAGATGGCATCAAATTAAATCATTATGATTGATATAAGTGACATTAGATTATTATTGTAGATATATGATGAAAATTTGATGTGAGTCATATTAGCATTAATAATTAATCATTTCAATGTCAGAATACTAAATTGAATTTTTATCAGAATTCTTTTAAAAATTCCACTATATAAGGATTATCCTAAAATTTTAATGTTTCTTACACAAGATGATATAAGTTGGATTTGTTAAATTTCATGATTTTTTAAGTAGAATTATAGATAAATACAACCATGTGAACGTATTCACATACGTGATGCCCTCCCTAGTATATTATTTTTAATCCAACTATTGAAGCTTTGTTTTATGATGTCCGTTATGTTAGAAAATTTTGATTTATTGCAGTATAGGATTTATGTTTCATATTCTATCTTGTAAATGAACCCAATTTTTTTTTAATTTAATTTTTGATGCTAAAATATTTTTTTGAATTTTTAAATAAAAAATTCATTTCTTATAAAAAAATATGTATGTGTGAAGTTTATTATTTACTAATAATTCCATATAAAAATAAAAGGAAAGTTTATAACTAACAATGGAATGTGTTTATGATAATACCAAATCTATCAGAAACAAATAAATTTAATATATTTGAAATTTGCAATCAAATTTTGAAAGATTTAATTGATGTGTTTTAATTAATATGTGTATCACTTAACTAATAATATGTCGACCTCCATGATCACACAAGGAATTCCTTTTCCTGCTTCACCAGCGACATTCAAAGTCGCGAATGCGGAGACCGGTGCTCACCTGATGGTGGACGATCGAAAGAGTAAACCGGGCGAGTACAGCGTCACAGTGTCGACCACTGTGACCAACGCCGACCAATTGAGCTTCCACCTCGTGGCCTCGACATATCTCGACCAGTCGGTCAGCACCTGCTACCATATCCAGACCGTTCACGCCAAAACTGCGAGGGCGATGGCCGACGCTGGGGATCCGAGTGACGAAGAGGACGTCGGTCCAGACACCGGACCCGTCATTTTGGAGCTGAATCAAGCCGACAGGAGGCAACTGTGGTTCATCGAACCTTCCACGGAGTTCCGCGATGGATGCTTCCGCTTCAGGAACGCCTACGCCTCTGGCTACCTCTACGAGGATGAGATGTACGGGGTGCAGATGAAGTACGTGGAGCAGGAGGAGCGCAGCCAGAACTGGGTTCTGCAATTCGACCCATCCGGACGTCCAAATGTTCCGCTGATTCACACTCAGTTCAGGATCAGCAACTTGGCGTACAAGAAGGTCATTCACGCCAAGTTGAAGGACCAGAAGGGCATCATCGGCCTGCAGAACAAGGTGACTCAACAAAAGGAGCAGGTGTTCATGCTCGTACCGTCGACACGGAAACCGGGAGTTTACCTCATGCGCAGTTTGTACACGGACCTCTGCGTCTCTCAGGGTGCGACGTCCTCTCAATCTGACAACGGCAAACTCAGCCTGATGCCACTCAGTCACGGTGATATGAAACAGGCCTGGAGCCTCGTCCCATCCACCATTCAGCCGGGATTCTACCGATTGCAGAACGTCGCAAGCGCTGAGTTCGTCATGGTTATCATGAAAAAGTCAAGCTAAGTCCTTCGAACGGACGCAAATCCGGAACTCAATGTACAGTGTTGGGATTTCTTTGGCGCATGAGCCGGTCCCTTTGGTCGCTGCTGCTGGCGACCGCGGCCGGGGATACGATCCTTCGAAGAAACACTGGGCTGGGACATGATCCAGCTTGATAATACAGTAAGTACCTTTCGTGTACAGATCGCTGAATTGTTGCCAGTGACTCTAAGCTTTCTACGTTAGGACCTCTAGTAATTTTTACGGACCGCTACAAGTCTATCAGATCCAAACGACTTAATATCTGACGTGACTCACTTTCTTGGCATACCAGCATCAGGTCGTTGGCAATCTGAATCATGTTCTCCAGTAAAATATATCTATGGCTTAAAGTGTTTAAAATTGTGAGTGATCGTTGAGCTCTTGAGCTCTTGACTTTCTCTTCGAGTCGGATGTGCTCAGACACTTAGATCTGAACAGCTGTAAGCAGTACATTGTTTGACACATGCTCAACGCTATCAATATGTTTTATCATATTTAATCAACGCATTTTATCATTCCACACTCCCCAACACTGGTTATGAGTTATTCAATGTTTTCTAACGCACTGAAATCTGCACCAAAGTAAAGTAATGCATGAAGTTACACCATCCCCGCTCGGGCAATATGGACATAACATATATATATTCTTCGAAAAGAACAGTACCATTGGCGCTCACTATCCTTCCATCCTCATTGAGTCTCAAATGCAATAGTGATCAGAAGGTCACTCTATCTTGAGAAAGAAGTGATGACAATCATGCACAGTGATCTACATGAAAGTTCAATTTCTGATTGGTATGAGTTCATGCACAACTTTATGTTTCTGGCTGGTTCCTAAACTTGACACGTAGTCTTCCTGCATTTGGATTACGTCGATGGGTCTGCCATAATGGGCGACTCTCTGGAAACTCACTATTCAGATTCTCAGCATGCTTTCTTTCTCAATGTAGCTCGAGTTTTAGGCTAGTTATACTCCTATCATGAGAAGCGTGTGTGTGCACTCTAAAATCAACAGTCTCGAAAATCTTTCATGAATCTCCTTTGATCGCATTCAAGCTATTTTTGCACTTCACATGGCGCAATTCAAAACTTCAAACGGAGTGCCAGCAGATTAACGCAGCCGCTCAGGAGCGTGTCGAGCAGAAACGAAGGTTGCCTCAATCCTCCTTCCGAATTGGCCGATAATCTGTACAGCGGCACAAATTTCCTGCAAGGGTTTTTTTTATTTCTTCAGTTGTGGGAGCACCTTTGGTTGCCCGCATCGCCGGACGCGAGGAGAGTTACCATAACGCCGAGCGTGACGTGCACGAGGCCGATGGCGGCAGCAGCAGCGGCGTAGCGGTGGCAGGCGCAGAACGGCGAGAGGAAGCGAGGGACTCTCAGCTCTAGCGCTAGTGGACAGCGACAGGCGCGAATTTTCGCGGCAGCTAGGCGAGGCGGCCAGGGAATGGGGGTATGTACTCTTGTCGTGCAGCCCCCGGCAATTGTGCATGCCGTTTCCTAGCAGGGGAGTCGATGAGCTCAAGCTCAAGCTCCATCGATGAGTGACGAAGCTGGAGTAGCGCCAGAGCTTCGCAGAGCGTCTTCGAATGCAGGAGTAATTGAGAGAGGAAAAGTGGGAGTTTCAATTATTGATGGTGGTTTTCAAGTGCTTTGAGTTTTGAAGTTCACTTGTGGAGTTGTTCTCGCGCCAGCTCAACTTTCAGAAGGGTCCGATTCTTCGCAAGCTGCGCAAGGGCGGAGACCGTGCTGGAGATTGCTCTGCGGTTCCTGTTGCCGACGAGCGTCCTCAAGTGGGAAATGAGGGTTCTTCCAGATCGTGATTCATAGCCTCTCGCTCGCCGCCCTCAAGGACATCGAAACGCAGGGTATCAAATTCTTCGAGCTGTCCTCCGAGAGCAAGCTCATGCTCGAGCAGCACGGTTACTTCTAAGACAACACCGCCGTCAAAATGTCGACTCTGCATTGGGCCGAGAGCTGGATGCTCAGCTACCGCCCCCAGAGCAGCATCGACAAGAAAATCAACCTCAAAGTCAAACCCTTCGACAAACAAGCCATAGGCACACTGCGATCAATGTCAGATTCGTTAGTCGATGAGCCCTGAAGGATGCACATTTTTGAAATTCGGAATAAAATTTTGAAGGTAGATATGATATCAATTGATGAATTGATGGGAAGAGACCGATAGATTACACAATACGAGAGAGTAAATGGTAAATGGACTGAGGATAAGCGACGGAGACGCATACACAGCTTTAAAATGGTTCGCCTTTTCCGATTAGGTCCATGGAAACACAAATATTATGTTCAGGAGACTCGCTAAGTAATACAGTAGGAAAGCTAAAATCCTGAACATCAATGACAGGTGCATTAACCCATCGTCACCGACGGTTTTAGGATGTCAGCAAAAACCATCACTAACGGTTCAAGGTCCCAACTTCAGTGACAGCTAACAAGTTTTTTTACATTTTTATTATTTTAAATGATTTTAATTGAATTTTTCATCTACGATTAATAGTATGTCAAATCATTCATAAGCTATTTGTACTGAATATTCATCAAAATTAAAATGATTAAGAAGATATATAAAGTAAGCAGATTTTTGTGTCTTGTTCTTAATAACAAAAGTGAACAACATTCTATCTTCATTATATGTTATAACTTTAAAAAAACAGTTGTGTTGAAATGCAACTAAAGTCGCATGTAATCCAGTTTACAAAAAAATATAAAATCAATACAGATACTTCTTTCATAAATTATCTACAAAAGTCAGCAGTACATGGTACAAAATACGTAATATGGAATAATGATTTATTGTGGACTAATTTTTTTTTTAAATTAAAGATATCATTATACTTATAAAAGAACGAAATTTTTTTATAATATATACTCCTAGATAAAAAAATCGATGATGATTACACTGCAAGTTTACTTCAAACAGAATGTATTGGCTTAAGTTTGTGGAAAATTGAAACAAACTTTGGTTTCATGAAGTTGTAGCTTTCATCATCTGGGTTCAATGTTGTACAAGGAAATTTATTCTATAAGTGATTATCAATGAATTTTATATGAAGTACAATGAGTCAGTTTATAAGGCTACTAATGAGATGAAGGAATGTTGTGAGGTGGATGTTGAATTAAAAAAGCGCACAATAATTTTACGAGTAGAACCAGCCTAAGAGAAACGATATCATTGAATGAAGCACATACTGAAAGATATTACTACTATCTTATAGTGATATTGTTACTTGAGCCTCCTATTGTAGCATCCTATTCGTAATTGACTGGCAGGCAATATATGGACGGCTAGATATACATAGCTTTGACCGTGATGATAAAACCATCCACCCAAATAAGATATGAACCATTCAATAAATTTCGACAAGAAGTATTCATCTATTGAGTCTTAGGATGTTCAGCAATGTAAAGGGTACGATCTTTGCAGACACAAAAGTAGTTGGTTTCAACATTGACGAGGTGATTGCAATTTCTGCAGTTAAATGTAGTTGACCTTTCTTGTTTCAGATCCTTCAATCGGATTTCAGAAACTTTGATCACGGTCCTACAATATTGCAAACTATGCAAACCGATAAGCACCGCGTGTCTAATCTAACTAGATTATAGCATTGTGCTAGATTCTATGTGCATCCTTTACTGCAAAATTGCAACGTGAAGGGTTGAAGTGAACGAGTGCATTTTTGTTACGGCCGTCGACAGAGGAAGACCTCCAGTTTGCAGGATAAGGAATAATATAAAAAGGCCAAGAAGAAAAGTTACTGATTTTGACCACAGTCGATAATCATTCCAATTGATTAAGCTTATAACAGTAACATCCAAATTCACGTTTTATCAGCATCTCAGATGTCAATCGACTGTAGGTCCACACCTGTTCTGTGACAGTTATACTGATAAAGTCAACTGAGTTTCAGAAAATGATGGGGATATCTTAGATCTCCATGCTCGATAGGGGAGATTCTCTTCTACACCAAAGCTCCTACTTTGCGCGATGATTTGTCAAAACAACAATTCAACTATGCAGGAAATCCCTGAAGGTAATCACTAAGGGTCTTAGCGGCCGCTGGTCATTTCTCCATCTAATTTGCACTTGAACCACTCATCAATGATCCAATGCAGCTTCAATTCGACAGTGATTTCAGACATCTGGATATTGTTCGACTATCTTCTTCCAAGCTGGCCGAGAAGTGATAGTTTCGTACCAAGCATTGACATGTTTGCGGCTAGTAACCAGACTTTCCTTTCCCGAGCTGACCACGAATCTGTGCAGCATAGGAATGTGAGCCAGATCTGCCATGGAATAGAAGTCTCCTGCCAAGTACTTGGTCTTGGCCAGCTGAGCGTCATAAATGTTCAGAAGCTTCTCAAACTTGCTGAGATTCTCTTCCACAACCGCTACGTCCGGTACTCTTTCTAAGAACTTAGGAAAAAAGTACAATTCCGTGACAAGACTCCGAACCGGAGGCTCGAAGTAGCACCCTTGCACCTCAACCCACTGATCCACCATTGCCTTCTCCTTGGGAGTTGATCCGAGCAGATGCAGTCCCCCGTAGTTGGTCGCAACATATCTTAAAATTGCTCGACTTTCTGTAACAAACAGGACATCAAAATTAAACTTCCCTGGTAGTACCTTATCGAGATATACTCCTCTCATCAGCGAACATGCAACTAACCAGCTCCATACCTGAAACATAGATTCTTAGCTATTTTAGCTGTAACTTGAAAGCTAATACCGATTACAGACATTCGCGGTGAATTCAGGATCATTGTTCAAGAAAATTCTATCCTAAATCAGAGTAATTTCTTTAGCTAAATCTTCTGTTTTGTGTTTGATAAGTCTCCAGTATAAACTTGTGATTTTCGCATATACGTGTAGTTCAGCTACCCTAATACTAAAGCATGGAACACTCAAGTAAATTTTGTTGCAGATGAATTGCCCAAATATTCTCTGCACTCAGTCACATCCTTCCAGACTTCACTTCATTCAGTCCTCTAATCGGTAAACTAAGCAGCTCCGTCACCAGAAAGACACATTAGCCGATATACATTTTGCGAAGACAGGAGCGATGAACAGACAGTATATAGACAATTTCTGAACAGGGCTG